GCGGGGGGGGTGGGAGGAGACGGACACCAAATTCTGTCCTTGGAACCAGTTTTACGTAGATTTTTTAAAAAATTTAATCCTTACAGCAACCCTTTTATCATTATTCCCATTTCGCAGATGGGGAAACTGAAATATGTATATCCAAACATTCCATACTTAAGTTTGTTGAGCTATCAGTGCCAAAGGACTAGGGAGATAATAGTTACATATTTTTGAGTGATTATTATGAGCCAGACACCATGGCAAGGACTTCATATCATCCTCTCATTTAATTCTCATAATTCCCCACCATAAAGTTAGGAATCAATATTCCCCATTTTAACGATGAAGAAACTGAGGCACAGTGAAATTAACCTACCCACCCAAGGTCATGAGGCATTTATTAAGTGCAGAGTAGGATGTGAACTCAGACCTGTCAAACTCCAGAACTGGAACACTCAGCCACAGTGACCCACCACCTCCCAAAGTGTCACATCCTCATCCTTTCAAAAGAGGGCTGGACATGGGATTCCTGACTCCAGGACACTCAGAATCCCACTCCCAGTATCCAGCCCTCACTGATTCTGGAAACATTTAAAAAATGCTTCAGTTGAGCAACTAAGATTCAAAATTAAACTTTGCGCATATTTTACAAATTAAATATTTCATATGTGATTCTATACGTATATATGCTTACCTACTGTGTTGCCAGGCACCAGGCCCTGCGCTTTACATACATATAATAGATATGAATGTACATATACACACACGATATTATTTACTTTCTAATCCTACAAATAATCTTTCAGTAGGTAATGATGCTCCTTTTGCAGAAAAGAGAATGAGAGCTCAGAGAAGCTAACTAGCTTCTCACACAGGTCAGTACCACCAGAGCTGGGGTTGAGACCCAGGGCCATCTCCCTCCAAATCCCATAAGCATACCACCATACTACACCGCCAAGACCTAGGGGAAACCAAGAAGTAACTGCCACCCTAGCTCCTGCCGAGACTCAGAAATCTCAATCTCTCTCATGCTTGGGGAAGTCCCTTACCGGGTAGTGCAAGATCACCATGCGATTCAGCAGAGTGGACAAGGCATAAAAAGCACCAGCATTCAGACCTGAAGGAGGGAGGGAGAAACACAGCATTAGGGTCAGCCTTCCGCTGGGGCCAGAGCTAAGTTCTCCCCTCGTAGTTAGGGAGGTTAGAAATCCTCATCCTCGTTGCCATAGGGAGTGGTGTCCTCAGAGAAGAAAAATCCAGGGCATATGAGGCTACTCTGCAGTGTTTCTCAAAGAAATACTCCAAAACACCAAAAGTAACCATTCGAACCTTTTCTTGGCCACACACCATTGCCCTCTGATCCCTTTAACTCTGCCCTGGAAACAAAGGCTCTAGAAAGTATTACTCCTAGGCCAGAACCATCCACACTCCTCTTAACTGCTGGCTAGACCTATGGGGTCAGTAGAATCACTGGACACCTTCCACTTCCTCCGGATGACCTTTCACCTCTCCAGACTGCTCCAGACCTCTGACCCCTGACACCACTCCCTCCACAATTGGTTTCTAACCTCTTTCCCCATCTCTCTTTCAACTTTCTTCTCGGATTCAATGTCACACAAAATCTTATATTACAAACCAGAAAGGACCCTAAAGAGCATTTAGCTGACTCTCCTAATTCATCGACTCATTCAACAAATAAATGTGTCACCCAGAAAAGTCCCTAAAACTTTCCATGTCTAATGCTTTGTTTTTAAGTTGTGCTTGCTTATAGCAACCAAGGCAGAACAATACCAGGTGGCCAAACTGCAGAACTGGTCCAAACCGGAAAGGTCCAAGATGGCGATGGGGTGCCATGCGCAAAAGGAAACGTGTGCAAAAGGGGCCGTGTGCAAGAAAGGAAGATTTGCGCATGCTCCAAATGCCCCTGCCCTGAGCGATAATGCAGAGACCCCTCTCCCTTCACATCACATAAGAACCCTGCTCACCTTCCCTTCAAGAAGGTGTTTGAGAGCACGAACTCTATCTCCTCCATTCACTGATCAATGAATAACGTTTCTGCTCTGCTATTCCGAACCTGGTCTCCTATCGGCGCAAGCAGATCCGGGCAAAAGGACTCACCAGAGGGTCACTGGTCCCTTAGGGCTCAGTAACAAATGGAGCACCTAGAATATACTGTAAGAATCTGTGTCCTCAGAGAATGAGGCCATTTGTCCAAAGCCATACAGTGAGCTAGTAACTAAGATCAGGCTGGAACTGACCCAAAGGAGACAGGGCCTCCTGCCCTCCCTTCATAATAACAGTAACAATGATGATGATGATGATGATGACGATGATGATGATGATGATCACGACGACGGCAGCTGCACAGACTTATGTACTAGACACTGTTCTAAGCACCTTACAATCCTCATAACAACCCTAGCCAGTAGGTAATAATATCATCCCCATTTTATACATGAGAAAACTGCACACAGACTTTAAAAACAAACACAGAGGTCACTCTGCAATGCCCACCAGGGGTCTTTTTAACTTTAACTCATTTTGAGGTTCACAAGACTACCACCGGCACACTTGACATTAGGTCCACTTAGAAAGGTATAAGACAGCTCACGGGCAGGGCAGCCCCAGGAGTTGCTCTTCAATGGAACCAGTCCATAGAACCCCAGTCCATGGAGCCATCCAGAAGCTGTTCTCTTTGGCCCCCAAGGTGATGGCTCAGGTGGAGGGAAAGGGAGATATGGCAACCCTGGTTTAACACCTCACAGGAGCTACTATTGCTTGTAACAACCCCATAGCCATAGCTTCCAGGGTCCCCATAAAGGACAGGCCACTGGAAAGAGTCACTGTACTCAGAGAAGCACCAAGAATGGCTTCCTACCAGATAGGAAAAGGCCTCCCAGTCCAGCTGCAGTCATCTTATCCCAAGAGGTCGTTTTTATCATAAGCAATGTTGCTTAAATGCAGTTGACTTACCCCCTTATCAGGTTTCCAGAGGAACGAGATACAAAGTTCAGTGAAGGCCAGATTCTCAGAAAAATGGGAGAGGAAGTTTTGTTTGCCATTCCCACAATCCCACAGGTAGTAAGAGGCAGGGCTGGATTTGAACCCCAGACCGCATGGCTCCAGAGTCCTCGATCTTAATCACTCTACTTTACATCCTCACAAAACTGATTCTCTGGATTTCCCCAGCTCAGGGGATGACAATTTCGCGTCTCAGCCTCTTCTGGCAGGTCGCCTCAGGGATGCAACAAGGGTGGGCTCAAAGCCGCCTCCTGACTGGCACAGGGCCACAGTGGGTTGGCAAACCCAGAAGTGTCACCAAATGTTGCTACAAGCTGATGGTCATGAGGACCTTGAGGCTCTCAGCAACTTCTGACCCAACAACCATACCTGACTAACCTTCATACCACACACCCAGCCACTTGGAAATTCCATTCCTGAGTCAAGAGGTCCCACAAGGAGATGTGTTCCTGAAAAGGGGGGTGGGGAGGAGGGGGGCCAGGGAGAAGGATGGAATCAGCCCTCTTCCTGCTCCTCACACCTCCCTCAGCCTCTGGGCCTCACACTACAAGGGGCAAGAGGAGGCTCCAAGTCAAGCTCAGCTTCAGGGGGGATGACTGCTCTCAGCTGGGGGCCCGGCTGGGATGAACAAGGAGGGCAGAATCCACAGGAAGCAGAGGGAGAATTGGAGCAAAAAACCCCACCCCCAACACCAGCACTTTCGTGACGCTGAAACAGGCAGAGGGAAGCAGTCCTGAGCTGGCTGACCTGCACTACTGAGGGAGCAGCTTCACGGGGCTGGAGGGTTTAGGGAAATCAGCCCCACATCAGCACACCAGGAGCTTGTTAGAGATGCAGACATTCTTAACCCCGCCCCAGACCTACTGCTGCAGAAACTCTGGCAGTGGGGCTGGCAATCCCCGCTGAGACAAGCCCTCCAGGTAATTCTGCTCCTGCTCAAGTTTCAGACCCACTGGCTCAGCTAGATTAGTGTGATTTACCAATAGCCATCCCAGGCCACCAGACATGGTTCAACAGCACAAACCACTCCACTGCCCAAATCAAGGGGTCGGTGTCTGCACTCGAGGGCAGGGATGAATGCGTGCTCTGCCCGGTGTGTGAGTCCCTCTCACAGGAAGACAGGTTACTGTGTTATACTCGGGTATGACTGTCCCCAGCATGGTAAGCCTGCCAGGTCAAGGCCGTACTCCTGTGCGAAAATGACCCCTCCCCGAAAGGCCAGGTCATCCTAGTATCAGTCACCTGGTCACTGAGGAGACGGGCTTTAGGAAGGCAGAAAGGACGTGTCATCACTCTTGAGTTTCTCTCCTTCGTCAGGACCAGTTTTTTCAAACTGTGGTCCAGAGACCACTGGCATTAGAAGTCCTTAGAGTTTAAAAATGCGGATTCCTGGGCTCCACCATGGACCTACTAAATCCGATTCTCCTGGAACAGGGCTAGGAATCTGCATTTTAAAAACAATAACAACAAAAAACCCTGGGCATTTCTTAAACTTGCTGGAGTTTGGGAATAAATGGCCTTGGGAATCCGGAACCAGGCCCCCAGGAGCTGGGGTTAACACGGAGGTAGCTGGGATGGGAAGGGGCTTCAAGACCATGAGAATGACCCATAACACGCCCACTTTTGAAATTCTCAACCCTGCCGCCCACCAGAATCGCCTGGAATGCTTGTTAAAAGCAGATTCCCAGGCCCTAACCCAGACTTTCTGAATTTGAATTTGCAGAAGAGAGGCAGGGAAACCTATGCACACATTCAACCAAGCACCCCAGGGCATTCTGTCCTCAGGGAGCTCGGGAAACACTGATCCCAGATCCTATCCCTGGGTTCTGGCTACACTGTGTTCATTTCCCTTCTGCCATTCCTGAACTTGTAGTAAACCCTTGTTTCAAAGGGCCAGCCTGACCTCAGCGAAGTTCCAGGGAATCTGGACGATTTTATACCCACTCTGAAGCCAGGATCTTAGAAGGGACACAAAGACCCCTCCCCAGGCACATGTGGGTGGGGCAGTGGTAATGCCCTTGAGAGCCCCCAGGAACGGTATCCCCAGGACACACTTGAGGCTCTAATTTCAGATAATCTGCCCTCACTGGCAGATTATTCAGAAGCATAGCTGGAGGCAAGGCTGGGGGATAACATGGAAAAGTATTCCCTTTGAGGACATTCTCTAGAAGAGGAGACTTTTCAACAATTGTTTTTAACATGGCAGTTGTTACACCATTGATGAAAAGACATAAGAAGAGGCCATATAAAAGCAAGACGTAGAGACACAAGGAGAAGGTAGCCAAAGAAAGGCTATTTTCTTCAGCCCCCCTCTCCCCGCACACTGCTCATACACATCACCAGCCCTGCCCTACTCCCAGACTCTGAGAGACCCAAGGAGAATCTGGCTCCAGCCCTGCACCTCCCTGCATCGCCAAACTTGGAGGAAGAAGGGTATTTTACTAGAGGAGGAGGCAGTTTCCTATTCCTGTGATATTTCAGCAACATCAAGCATAAACCCAACCTCTGCACCTCCTTCCCTCTAAGTTGGGCTGCCAGTTTTAGGAAAAAACAAAAACAAACAGGACATCTGATACCAAACCTCTTAATCTCAAATTCAAGTGCCTGATGAGCAGTAAGCCAATTACTGAGACATCAGTGCTTGGAGATGGAGAAAGGTATAAACTGGCCAAAATGAGAAGGCAGGAAGACAGGTTCTCTCAAATCCACCTTAACAAGAGAAGAAAGCAAGGGGTTTTGTAGAGCTAAGGGGCTTGGCAGGAGGAGAAACAAAGGGGTAATCCATGTTTCTTTCATCCCAGATAAGCCCTGGGCAATCTGACTTCTCGGCCTCAAGGGCAGCTGGGGGCTGGTTATCTGGTGATGGTAACTTCCTTGAAGGCATTATCTTTCTTCTGTGAAACAAGCTCATAAATCCTTGTGACCCTTGAGTCACCTCTCAGGTTACAGGAACACAGCAAATTGACAAGATTAACCTCTTTTCATAACAAGGTGCAAAGGTAATCTTATTGAATATTTACAGTCACCCTCAGGTACCCGGCTTCACATCCACTTAAATTTGAATTTCAGATAAATAATTTTTTAGCATAAATATGC